TGTCCGTCTCTATCTCTACCTGTCTGCAATTATCTATGCCATCACTTCTTGCTGGTCTTATATATACAAAATAGAGGGCGTCTGTCAAAAACTTGAGCCTTCAGAAACCTTCTAGATACTCATTACGTGTTACCAGCATCATGTGAGTTCTGCTGTCGTAACAGTATTTTAGTTATTTACTTAGGAATGATGTAATTTGTTTATTTTGTTTTAGATACTGAAGATGGAATCAGTAGAATACTGAAACATTTATCTGTGTCTCCTCCTATTATAAATAAACAATGATGTTTATATTAAGTAACATTATTCTATTTATTGTGAAACTTCATTTTCCTCTGAACACATCAGTTGATAATGTTTATGTAGTGATTTTCACAAAGAGTAACAGCATATCTCTAGTGTTTGTCACATAATTCTGCTGCAAATGAGCCAAAACACTGTGCATCCTCATTATTCTGTTAGTTGTTTTTTTACATCCAGTTTTATCATATAATGTTAACTTTTGAACTATAATATTCAACATCATTTATGAAACAAGTAATGGATATTAAAAAATCAAATCAAAAGTTATTAAACTATTGTGGTAATAGTATATGGGTGATGATAATTTACTTATAAATTTCAGTGCTTCTTGTGGTTAATTGAACTAAATGAAAAATATGAACTAACCAATATAAATCTTTTGGACATTTACAATTAATAGAAAAACAAACACTAACAAAAAAGAGTATAAGGCACGTAAAGTAAAAGCAACCAAAAAAATAGTTGTTTTGTCTTTTGGAGAATCTTGGTTTCCTTCCTCTTGGACATGAAAACAGAAAAGGTGGGAAGATAGAATATATAAAATTGAAAATGGCCTTTGTCATTTAAAATGATAATGCCAAAGTCAGTGCCATCAGTTGTGATGGGTGTGGTAGGTTAGGTGTTGCTTATTAACATCAGGTCAAAACATTTTCACCCGACATACAGCATACATAATCATCCTTGAATTGTGCTTAATGTAGTATCATGTAAAAATATTATAAATGACTATTATTATCCTGAAAATTAAAATGTACACTTAACTGGTTTGATGTGAATCATGATTGAGTGAATTAAGTTAAATCTTGGTTAGTTGGTTCAGTTCTTCAGTTTACAGATGCATTGTGTGATCAGAATCATGATTTGACTGAGGTAGTCAGCTGGTTCAATTCTATAATCTACAGATGTATTATTTAGTCAGAATTGCATTTAAGTGAAAAAAAATTAGAGTTCGAGTAGCATTTTTGCTGAGGTAATCAGCTGGCTCAGTTCTTTAATTTACACATGTATTGTTTGATCAGAATCATGACTTGGCTGAACTACTCAGCTAATTCATTTCTTTAATCTACACATGTATTGTTTGATCAGAATCATGACTTGGCTGAACTAATCAGCTAATTCAGTTCTTTAATTTACACATGTAAAGTGGGCGAAAACGAACATGTGGTGGCCTACTTCAGTAGGGTTTTAAGTAGACCAGAGAGGAACTACCATGTAACATAGAGGGAACTCCTTGCTATAGTAAAGAGTGTGACATATTTCCACCCTTACCTCTATGGTGCAAAG